GAACTCAGCTAGCATGCTAGCTTTCGTGATTTTGCCAAACCACACATGTCCAAGACAGTAAATTCAAACACTTTGCTCTCAGGTAATGAAGATTCATCAACTGACGAGGCGCGGCCGAAATGTTATGTGATGCATCCACAAGAAAAAACGAGCAAATGATCATGCTTCCGACGAAGCTGACCATGCTTCCGACAAAGCTTGTCAATGAATCCTAAATACAAACACTAAATCAGTGGATGTTTTGCAAAAACGCATGCAAAATCCCATGAGTGTCATCTTGATTCTCCAATAATTACATGTGTTTCCGCTATCCAGGATCATCATCCAAAATTCAAGTGCATGATGTCTTTGACATCCTGGTTTTGAACGCACACCCCAAAATCCAAAACGCCTGCAGCTAGGACTTGAACCGTGGGGGGGGGGACGGGGGGGTGGTCCTTAGCGTGATATATCACGCTAGAGTGGGGGGGCCAGGCCCCCCCCCCCTTAGTGTGATATATCAAGGTTTAAGGCATGCAGCTCATCCCCACTACCAATTGCTAAAGCAAAGAAGAACTCAGCTAGCATGCTAGCTTTCGTGATCACAAATCGGTCTCTAATTATAAAAATCAGACAGTAACAGTTTTAATTTCCCAATTATCATGCTCAAACCAGCGCAACTGCCCGTAGCAAAACATGTTTTGGGATGTTTTGGGCAATGCCCAACTATGACTCAGCCGATCTGCAAAGCTGCTAAGCCTTAAGCTTATAGGGATAGGTGAAGACATATATGGAGACACACACACACAAGGCTTGGCCTACTCGACTTCTTCGACCTCGTCGGTTTCACGCCGCTGCGCAAAGCGCCTGGTGGAAACAATCATCCACTGGTCCTCCACCACTCGCCCCCAAGAGGTCTCTGCCAAGACCTCCACGCACCGGTCCACAGCGTTGTCGGATCGCGAGAATCCCCCAAAGACCCCCTGGAAAAGGTGAAATTCTTCAGAACATGAGGATTTGCCCAACTTTTCCGGATTTGGAGTGGGGTTGATGTGGCGTGTGAAACCCTCCACCCCCCAAAAAAAGAAAAAGAGAAAGACACAGTGACCTGCAGGGTGACTTCCAGGCCGTCTGACCCCCCCAAAACGTCGGAGCTCCGACCTTCCCTGCGCTACAGCCGCCACTCCCACGGACCCATGACGGCACCCCCCCGTGAACGACTCCACCCGTTAAGCCTGCGGAGGAACGTCCGACCGGTCCGACCGTCCGACCACCGTCCGACAACGTCCGACCACCGTTCGACGCGCCTCGTTGATGACGACTTCCACGGACTTGTTGGCCGTCTTGTCACGCATGACGATGGTCTTGTTCCTGGACCAGTACATCGTGACGGTTGCAGGCGTTTGCATTGGAATGGCCGCACTTTAGATGATTGGAAAAAACCCAGATAAAACCATGTGGGAAAAAAACATGGACATCATGCATGTGGACACACCAAGAACTCCCCCTGGAACTCCTAAAATCGGAAGTGGAGCGAACCAAACACCGGCCCCACACGTGGGGCCGGAAGCGGCGTCGACCCGAAGACCATCGGGAACGTACGACCTCCACGGAACGGTTCGTTTCCCCCCCATGGAGAAGTGGCGAATGGAGATTGGAGAAGTGAAACAACTTGGAGAAGATGGGTTCTTTGCGCACCTTGTTATGGATGGGGTTTGTTGTTATGGATGGTTGTGGTTGTGGTTGTAGAGAAACTGGGTCAGTCTAGACAGTCTTGGTGAGACACCGGATGTCCTCCATGACCCGTAGAAACCAGCCTCTGAACTTCCGAATGCAAACTTGGGTGGGTTGGGGAAATACCCCTTGCAGGATGACACTCTCTGGAGATGGTATAGCTGCTAGCTGCATAGTTCACTTGTCCTAAAGTTCATAAAGAATAAATCACACCGTATCATCAAGAAACGCCCTATCAGGACTGAAGCCACATTCGGGGACGAAGTGATGATGGTTGTCCATCTGAAGTGATGGTTGGAGCCCTCATTTTCCCAGAAAGTCTCCCGAAACCCTCAAACTTGAGGTCCAAAAAAATACTTAGTAGGAAGTCTTAGGACCAAGTCTTAGGACCAAGGAAGTCTTAGGACCAAGCCGACGCCGCGGCGATTTCGAGTTGGTCGCATTTCGCCCTGCATTCTCTAGAGTTCTTAGCCATCTTTACAGATTCCTGGCTATTGATGCTTGTGCCGGGCATGAGTTCATATCGGACCAGAGAAATCACCGGAGTGGAGTTACGGCGTTCAACTGGGCAGGCTGCTACTGTGTGCACCATTCTGCAGGCTGCTACAGGTGCACTGCTAGATGTCTCGACATCCTTGCAGTGCATATTCCAAACAGGACTCAAACAGTACTTTTTAGTTTGGCAGGGTCGGTCATGAAGTTTATTGAGATATGTTTCAAAACTGCTCGCATGCGAGACACACACACACACACACACCTTGGTTTTAGCTACATTCCCTGATCTCCACGACTGCCGAGGAGCACATCGAAGTTGATGGTCAAATGCCGTGGCGACGCGGAGGACGCGTCCCGCGGGGAGAGCATGGCTGAATCATGGTAGACCCAACCTGAGCTTCCGAGCCGCGCGGCGCTGTGAGTGATTCGGCTAAGCCGCCGGTCGCGTCGCGAGGTCGCGCAGGTCGCGCATGGGTTTTGCACATAGAGTTGCAACGATGTTAAAGCACTTCATGTTGAATCTCCTTGGGGCATGATACCACATGAATCCACACGATACCATGTGTGTCGTTTCCAGGTCTTTTTCATCACCTATAGCCACGTCGCCACATCGCTCGTCCAAGCGGCTGAGGAAATCATCAAAGTCAATGGAGCCCTTGTCAGCCCAATTGGCCAAGACGTTGTCCACATCGGTGGGATCCCAAAGGCCAACGTGCTGGTCGCACAGAGACTGCAGGAGCTCCCTGGATCCGACGACGTGGGCGCATCGCCCTAGACTCTAGACCGTCCTCTAGCCAGCCATCTGGGGCCGGGCTCAGCTATCCGTGGCTATATGTGGCTATCCGTACCTGTTCGTCTTTCTCTCGAAAATCAAATGTCACTCAGCTTGGATCCAGTCTGAACAACCTCAAGTGAAAGGAATCAACCATTTTCTCTACTTACTAGGCGTGACTCTCCTGCCATCTCGTGCTGGCACTTCCTGAAGCCCCCCCCACTGTTTGCGGGCCCGGACCTTAAAGTGTCGGGCGTCATCTTGCCGTCGCCATCACAATTCTCATGAAAAATTTCACTGATCAGCTTCATGGCTGTGAGACGGAAACTGTGACGCTGCGACACTGTCGTGCCACGCCACAGCAGCTCTAACTCCTGCCTGAAGCTGTTGGAAAAAAGGCGCTTCTCCAAAGTATATGCCAACAAGTCGCAACAAAGCCAAGCTTTAGTGCACCATGATTTAATGATGTGCACAGGTGTGTTGTCTCAGAAGCTACTGTAGCAAAATCGTCTGTTCAAACCAACGTTTGCCAGAAACTGATACTTCGACCTCTGCTTCGGCAGGAGTTTGACCTTTCTTTCAAGGTCGTCGTCCCATCCAATCCAGGTGAGTTCTTTTCGCATAGATATATGTAAGTCATTTCCTTTACCTTCCGCAAAGCCGAAGACCAATCTGGATGAAAACATCCCAGATCTAAATAAAAATCAATAAACCGACAAGGAATCATCCAGATTGAACAACAAGAAGAACCAACAATTAAACATGCTGTATATCTCGAATCAAGTTACCCCCTTCCTCGGGCCACTCAGATGCTGCAAACGGCCGGCATTTGGATGGCTCTGATTTGAAGCAGTGCGGATTTTCTCCTTCAGTAGTTCTCAACTAAATGAGGGAACTGCACAAAGCTTGGTCAATTGCAGGGGCTCGGACCCCTCGCCAGTCGGGTGTTCAAGATATCATCTCATGAGACAAAGGGTGAAGTGTTGCTGATGATTTTCTTCTTGTGACACGTAGCCATCACGAAACCCCAGAGCCCTCGCATTCTAAACTGCCACGAAAGGTCTATTTGGGGGGTCTCCTTTCATGTAGAAGGGCTCACAGGAGCGCAAACACGGTTGAGCACGCTTGGGCACGCTTGGGGACGGCTACCATTATTGATCCACTTCCAGGGACACCTCGCGGCAATGATGTTGAGCTTGGAGCCCCCGCCTTCGCCCACGCCACGCGGCGTTGCCAAACGCCACCATCGCCGCTCGCCTCGAGCGGACGAGCGAAGGAGCGAGCGAACGTGGTCAACGGGTCGGTCGTTGACGGAGACAGTGATGCCAACCCCGATCCCTGGGATCTACATACTTCTTAGTCGTAGCTTTTACAAGAACCATGCAAATGATTCAATTGATCAATCATCAGGAATCCTATGCACTGTGTTACCGTCCCCTTTTGGGAGATACACAGCTGTTGATACAGCTGAAATTTCATCTGACGAACTCAATTCAAACACCCCGGTGTGTCAAAAGCTGGGACATGCTGCGTTGGTCTGGGCACAGCTCATTCAAAGCACGTCGTGGACAAAAAGCTATATGTAGGATGTTGAAGCAAGTGTATGTTGGCTATCCTATTGCCAGTAAGAAGTGGATTTGTTTGGTTAGTACAAGAAAATACATCGATGATACTTGTTGACCGACCGTTACAGGTCAAGGTCTGCTCATAGCTCGTCCACCATCGGCCGACGTGGACGGCGACGTGGGATCGGATGAGATGGAGGAAGGCGCAGCGAGCTGCGGCCCCGCAGCAAACGGTCACTTGGCACCAAACACCTTGGACTAAGGGACTAGGGACTGGAGGTCTCCGACATTCACCCCTTTTTTGCATCCTGTTGATGCCATGCCAGTCCGGCGTCTTGATGGGTCAAGCTTGGTGAAGAAAAGAATCTCTTCGGGTGCCGTCTCTACAGGCTGACGCAACCTCCTCACTCCAGACTCACGCAGCGAACGGACGGCTTTCCGGCCATCCCAACATGTGGGGAAAATCCCCTTTCCTGGCCTGGAGGCGCGGCATGGAAGTGCCTCGCTAGATGATGTGGAGTTTCAGGATGTTACGGTGGATCCCAGTGCTTTCAGAGGTTCGATGGCACAATCCCCCAAGTTCGGTGGTTTATGTGGACGCCTATGTAAAAGACATCTTGGGGGTTGTGCCATCGAACCTCTGAAACCACTGTATTATGCTTGTTTGTCCCGTGCAGCGAGTGGCACTCCAACAGCACTCCATGGCACTCCAACAGACATCCCGACATAGAACTGCTTACTGGCGACCCAGTTGATGCATCTTGGAGCCGGAGCTAACAGCGAATGCTGGCTGCGGTAGCTCGGACGCGCGGATTGTGGCGGCCAACGCCATTAAATTCATATCCTACCATAGGGATCCAAGTACCTTCTCAGAAGATACTTGGACCCTCCAAACCTACATAACAGTGCCTCCAATCACCTTCTGAGAAGGTACTTGGATCCCCAGGGCCGCATGTGTTAACTATATCATCTCTAAATGAAGTCTGCATGCTGCACCACAGTCTGGTCGCCTCCCACCATTCCCTGTTCGATCAACACCACTGTGCCGGGGCCGGAGGTTTCCTCTTGGACGGATGATAGCTCATCTTTCAGCACTTTGAAGTCCTCCAGATCGACGATGCTGCGACGAAACATCCGCAGGGCCCAGGGGGGCCCTGGTTGAGCATGAGGGATGCCAATCTTCCATCATGCTTTGGTGAGGGACGTGACTCACTGTGGCTCCACATAGCTGGTGAAGTGTGCATAGGTTGGACAAGGGGTCTTCTGGAAGACTGGTGTTTGGGGCAAAATGAAGTTCAGGCACTGTAGAACCCACATCCTATACGGTTAGCCTAGTGGGACTTAATGGGACTTATACTGTAACACTGTTTGACTATATATAGTAAGTGGGGGTCTCCGACTGTTTTTACGGGAGTGTATGGTCTTCGGGGTTGGGCAGTGCGAGAATCCAGTTTTTGTTCGTCTTGCAAGGCTGGGAGAAGCTACCAGGACATGGACCGCTGCGAAAGTGGTGAGAGTCTCTGCGAGGCAAACTTATATAGGTTTACCGATGCCGTTTGAACATTTGCAGCGCGCACGTTGGAGGTTCCCAAAGAGCCTTAAAGTGCACACTTGCCCCGCCTTTGCGGCTGTCACCTCTTGCTTTTGACACTCGGCTGCCTCCTCCTCGGTCTCTCGGCGCCTCATTCCAGGTGCTGGAAGCGATGTTTCTTCCAAGAAAACTCAAGGGGTCTTACTTACACAAATATAGGTGTGTCTTGAAATAGGGTGCCCCCCAAAAAATACACTGGGAAAAAGGACGTATTGACTACTACTTGGCTGTGAGGTCCTCTCTATTGAATGCTAAACTGGGCCAAAAAAGGCAATGATAAACATCTTGTGTTTTTTCACAACCAGTCCCTGGGTTGTAAAGGATGACCACGCCAACGCCTGCCACACCAATCGAGGCATAAAAGAAATCCAAAATCCAGCCCCCTCCAGTGTAGGCCAGCAGAAAAAACGATCACATAGAGTATCATAGAGACCATTGTGCAATAAGTGTAGGCTTAAGATGACACATTAAACATCATTAAACTCAGAAGTGGTTCAAAACCGCGTGTACCAGGATCCTCCAAGATCAGTCTTGGAGCCAGACCCTAGACCCGGCAGCCCTTCCTAGCCTCTTGTCACCAGGAAACCATCTTGGAGGATCCAATGCAATGCAAGTATGGGGGGAGCCGTCTTGAGAGAAGTCAAAACAAATGACCCAGTAGAGTAAAGAAAGTTCCCGTTCAGGCACCCTAAAGACAATTCTGTTCATAGTCTTTGACTCTCAGGGTATACCAGGACATACCAGGACCTTCCAACAGGTGGTTCTTGGACAGCCCTCAACCCCTAAGAGGCTATTTATAGACACCACTTGGAGGCTCCTGGTCTTGTGCTGGAACTCCGCGCAGGGCACGAACGCAAAAACACCTGCAAAAACGTCGCTCAGGCTGCGGCTCGACCGTAAGGAGATCTTGCTCCTGAGGCTCCAAGCTCGAACGGAGTCGACCCCCGTCACGCGCCGTCCCCTGAGACCTTGAGCCAGTCGGGCCCTGAGACCCTGAATCTGCAGTCTCATCTCATTGATTTTGCTCATCTCAGTCTAGATACAGTAGCAATGCCCTTGTTACGTTCGTAGCGTTCTTGTTCCTAGTAGTGAGGCCACGAGCTGCTAATTCGTAGCGTCCTTGCTCCGTTCGTAGCGATGCCCTTTGCAGTCTAGTCTCATGGGTTTTCTCCCATGGTCTTCTTGACTCACCCCCCCGTATCCCCCCGAGAACCGGGGCCTTCTCAGCATGGAGCACCTGCTCATGGAGTTCGTCGATGAGACTGGATGCTTGATGCAGCCGATCTCAGTTGCAGCTGTTTCTTCTCATCGCTCCGGACCCACAGAGGCAGCCCGATGAGCAGTGCGGTAGCCCGATGAGGTGTCGGAAGTGTCGTGAGGTCTGGGAACACGCCCGGTTTGACCGTCCGGGACGTCGAATCACCCAGTTCGGGAAAGTCAATATCACCCAATGCTAAGCAAAACCAAAAAAAGGTCCACGCAGCTAAGGGAATTGGTCTGGATTCTAGACGCTTTGCGGTCCGAACGTGTTCTCTCGGATCTGAACATCAAGACTTGCAGCAGTGATTGAGATGCAGGCTTAGGCAGGCTAGTAGGGTAAGAGTTCGGTTTATGTGCAGGGACTCACCATTGATCTCTCTCCATAACTTAGCACATCTCACAACACTGCGCTGTGGCTGCGGCTGATCTCCTCCTGCACATGAGCTACGCCAACAGAAACAACTCCATGAGTGAGGCAATGCAAATTGACCGGGTGTGCACAATCTAGCTGTTTCTCCGGCAATGCAAGTCAATGACTATGACAATATTGACAATTATACTGAGTATGCTGGTTACATGATGAATCATTCAGATTTTTGCGTGGTATGCTGCATGGTATCCCTTTCGACGGGCGAGTTCTGTGATTCAAGAAGTGATCTGATTCACCAATCCGAGAAACCCCCAACAGGTTCGGTGGATGTCCAGGACACCGGTGGCCAAAAATCCTGGCCCTACACCTCCAAGTACCTCCTCAGAAGGTATGACTGGACCCTCCAAACCCACCCCAAGCAGCTTCTCAGAAGGTACTTGGAGGACGCATTGGTTTCAGCACCGGGTTAATGACACCTTTGGGCTTCAAAACACGAAGAAAAGCTGGCCATCCGATCGAGATACA